AAGTTTCTTGACAAAGAAGTGTATTGTGATCTCAGTGATAGAAAGTTCTTTTATTAGATCTAGTTTTCTTTTTAAGGTGTCTACTAGTACTTGTTGATCCACCATCCATTGTTTTAATCTGGGCCATTAAAAATATGTCTTGTTCTGGTTTAGAAAGAGCTTGGAAAGATTCTCTTAATTCTGCAAAATTTTCCTTGGGAATTCTTGAAGAGCAACCACATTTACATCCTTTTTCTAAAAAATCAATTGCTTTTTGATATTCATTAGAACCATTATACTTATTATTATTACTTTTCATATACACTTATCCCTATATATAAATTTTATCAATATATATTGAATATGCAATTTTACAATACTTTACCTTTGAAAATTTAGCATGAAAGACTCTCATAAGTTAGGGTTCTACTTTATTAATAAAGAAAAAAAATTTTTTCTCTGAAATTTTTAATATCAGCAGAGAATAATCATGTAAAGCTTTATTAATAAAAAAAATTACAGGACAAACTATCTATAGAATTTTGAATCTCACAACTTTTTATTTGATTTACAAATTTGTGCCATAAAGAGTGCTAAAATTTGAGAGCAATAATCATGGTTTATAAGAATAAGCAATTTTTTTAAGACAATCAATCTTCAACTTTTTAAAATTATCAACACCAATAATATCCTTTAAATCATCTGCACTTTCAAAGGGTTGTTCTTTGCATTTATTTCATATTAAATCATGTTGAGTATCATTGAAGCCAATGATCTTAAGTGCTTCAATAGGTGCTGAATTAATATATATTTTTTCATTTCCTAGATGAAAGAGCAGAAACACATATCAATCCATATCACATGTGATTCAAAAAGGAAGACTTCAAATTTTATTTTTACATACCAGAAAAAAATTGTGCCCGACTGGCATATGTATATCCATAAAATTCTTGAAAGTTTTCCATACTTACTAATGCACTGTTAGATTTATGTTTAATAGACAAGTTCTTTGTTCTTGCATTTGTTAAGAATAGCAGAACCCATGGACAATTGTTATTTCTAACTTTTTTCATAGCTTTGGAGACCTATAAAAATCATTAAATAATGCATGTGACCAGATATAGAATAAAACCAGTGTGTTACTATTACCTTTGTATGTTCATCATTGAATTTATCTTGGTTGATTTCCATTGGTTTAATAGCTTCAGAATCTGTTTTTTTTGTTTGCTGATGTATGAAGACAATTTCAGATTCATTAGGTTCATATTTATGATTCTTGATGTTAAGAATCCCAAAGGCATCTGAAGGTGCTCCAGATGCATTTAGGAAGATACAACCTGTATAATTATCAATATCATCATCCTTAAGGATGTTAAGTTTGATAAATCCTTCTGTAGTTTCATTGTCATCTATTGCTGTTATATCCTCATTAGATTTAGTGACTAAAAAACAATATCAGATATTGGCATTTGTGAGATTGATATGGTACAAAATAGAACATCTGTAAAAATAATACCTGGATATCGATGTTGCAAGTTATACAATTTGACTTCTTCAGGAAGGACAACTTCAACATCTAGAAAGTTGTCAGAAATATTTGCACCCTTGAGAAAGTCCTTCAACTTTATTATCTCATACCCAGCCAACTTGAAGAGACTGAGACGCAGTGCCAAAAATTTGGCATTAAACTTCTCAAAATTCTGCCATTCCATCTTCTTATCTTGTTGGAGCATATTCTGCCAATATTGAAAAGCATATTTATTGGATTCTTCAACAAGTACACTTACCCATATGTAAGGTAAGTGAATATAATAATTATTATTGCTTTCATTCTCATCATTGGACTTATCTTCTGCAAAGACTAAATTCAAAAGCCCCATTGAACTGAGATCTTGATAACTCTCTCCTAAACCTTCAATTTTATCCTGTTTTTTAACCAGCAGACCCAGTATTGCCTTTGAGAGAGCCACTGCCAGAAAATTTGAGTAATTTGCTATATTATAATCTTCCATAATTTTATGTTTGACTTTCCTCATAATTTTATCAATAATCACATCATGAAGTTCATTATGTTTCAGCTCATGTGCAAAAGCTTCATAAAAATACTCTAGAGTTCTCACATGTCCTCCTATATCACTGATGCTGACTTGAAAGTAAGGATTAAGGTTGATATATTCATCATCAAATAGTTTCAATTTCTTGCCAATCTCAATTACATCCCTTTCTCCAAGAAGGTGTAATGGGAGTTGAAGTGGTTTGTGTGCAGAGCCATGGATGTATTTTTCCAGAGGTCCCTCGATGGTTCCAGACAGAATGGGTACAAAAAAAGTGTTCTTAGGTGAAGAACACATAGATCCTCCAATGGATTTTATTAGACTCTTGCAGACACTCATATTCAAATCGTGTAAATTGTTGAACTCATCAATTCCAAGTACAATAACCAATAGATTATCTCCTTTCATCATTTTGTCCATGTATATAACTTGAAGAGTAGTGTCCAGACTAAGTAAACTAAGACTTGAAGTGGGAGTGTTTTTACTCTGACAGTATGATAAGAAGCTTGGAAAAGTGAGTTCACCAAATTCAGGAGAGGATGGTCGAAAATATTCAAATAGAATACGTAATGAAATGGATGCATCAGCACCAATTGTTACATCAACATCACGAGGAGGAGAACCATTGCCATAAGTTGTATTTATGAATACTGTATTACCAAAGGCATTATGGATACTTTCATTGTTAGAGTTGTTAGCTTTGCACATGAGCAATTCTTCAATCTCATCCAGAAATCTACTTTTTCCAGATCCAGGGCCACTTGCTAAAACAGGAATAGGATGAAGAGGTTTGTCACTATCATTACGATGTTTAAATCGGCCTACAATCCCCTTTTGTCCAGTTGTCTTATTTCCATTCCAAAGTGTATCAATTGCATCATCTTGTCCATAAAATTCAAAGTCTTTACCAAAAGTCTTGACAAGCTAAAAAAAAATCACCAAACTTGGTCAGAGGAGCTAATCAACACAATTGAAAGCATGACAATGCTGGACTTACTCGATTTCGAATATGGGTTGATGTGAATTTTTTCATAAAATTGTAAACAGAAGAAGCATCATTCCAAAGTTGTGGGTGGTCTGCTTAAGATATAATCAGAAACAAAACAAAGGATAACAAATGAATGAAATAATTTTTTTTTTTACACAATTTGTTTGTTACCTTCCCCCTTGCCAAAGTTTACAAATGCATCCTGCAATTTTGTCACTTGGTCTCCCCATCTCTTCTTCTCCTTCTCCAATTTTTCTTTTTCTTTTATTAAGTACTCCCTTTCCTCACGCCCTTCTTCACCTCCTCTCCACAACTCCTTCAATCTCTCTCCCCATTCCTTCTCCCAATCATTCAACTTCTCTCCCGCCTTTCTATACTCTTCTTTTGCATCTTTCAATTCTTTGTCAATTTTTTCGATCGTTGTCATTTTTTTTTTTAAAATTAAAAAAAGTCGTAAAATTAATTTTTAAAAAAAAATTTTTTTTATTGATTTAGATCATCATATGGGCGGATTTGACTCATTTCAATAAGTAAATTATGTGATACCTTAATAAAAATGTTATGTAAACATGTGATGAACATGTGATTATCCTATTAATTTTACCACAGAAATTTTTTTTTCATTTC